AATCTGATTTGCATAGAATTTTGTCGGAATTGTTTTTATTATATTCATTTATATTCATACATTCATTCAGATGGAAAAATAAAGGAATGCCAAAAATAAGGAAAAGAGAAAGAAATAACGAAATATCTGGACATTTATCATTTGAATCAGATTCCTGCGAAAGGGTAAAGGTCACAGGTCACAGCTGATTGATTGTGCTGGCAGCTACCATGAGTGTGATCGCGGCGTGCAAGCAATAGCTGTAGATGATTCTGGCGATACTGATACGATCTACAATCACAACTAAGTCACCGCCTTCAATATACACACCTCCAAGATGACGCAAGACCACACTGACTGAACCGCAAGTCGATTCTATCAGTAACACGAGAGTCAATCCATATGCGACTGATCAGTTCGGTTCTCATTTTAGCGAGGCGTCCCCTGACCACGAACACTACGACCACGGCCATGGCAAGCAATAAACTAACGGAGTTATTGGCTGCATACGATCCCCCAGAATGGGCCAAGACGTTGAAGAGGATACCGGAGTGCAAAGTCAAGGTACGATGAGCCATATGTCCCCAACATTATTCAATATTTTCCTAAATGACCCCCCCCCCCGGTATATTTGAGGATTAATGGTAATCCTTTAAGCTGTATTTAATATGCGGACGCCATGGTTCTAGCATCTAACACTGCAGAAGGCCTACAAAATTGCCTTAATAAATTACTGCACTGAATGGAACCTCTAAATACAAAGAAAACTAAGATTATGATCTTCAATAAAGGTAAAAACTTCAAAATAAATAGTCAGAATATAAATCCAGTGAATATATTCAGCTACCTGGGGTCAATTTTCACCCCCAATAGAAAATCTAAGCTCAACAACCAAATGTTAAAAAATAAAGCCATGAAAGCATTATTTACAATAAGAAACGCTATACTAAGTAATAAAATGATATCACCAACTATATGTATCAAAATGTTTGACCAACTTATATCGCTAATTTTAATATACAGTTCAGAAATATGGGCCTGTGAATTATTAAAATTCAACTATGTAATGAATGTGTATATTAAAGTGTGTATAAAAAAACTACTGTTGTCTTGTGTGTATGAATTTTGTATACATATATAATATCAGAGGTACATTACTTGGGGTTTGCAACTACGGTGACATGATACCAAGATCCCGTTTCAATCTCGCTCTCGCATAAGCGTTCCAACTCAGAAAAATTTGAATGCGCATGCCCGAGGTAACTAGGATACTGGAATGTCCAGGTGAATCAAAATAGCTGCCCACGATATGACTGATTACGAGAACTATATTTTTTGTACATTTTCGATGTATTACATTTTTTCACTATCAATGTGGTAATACATGTTTTATTATTTTATTACAAACCGCCTATATCATGTCAGAAGGTCGTAGCCTCAGTCTCGCTATCTACGAGATGAGACTTCAATGGGATCTTGACATGATGTCACCATACAGTACTATGGGCGTTGCAAACCCCAAGTAATGTACCTTTGATAATATACACAATTTCAAAAAAACTACTATTAAAACATGTGGTTGCATCAACACATGCATCCTCTACACATTGGTCATTACTCCCTTTGCACTTGTCTTTGTGCATAACAAGTTCGACCTGGTTTGTCCCAAACTAAACAGCTTCCTCAATCACCTGAGAATGTGATTTGAATGTTTGCTCAAGCCTCAAAAATTTCAAGCTTCAAGCTATACATGTACTAAAAGTCTGAGGTTTTTCATATGTATTTATGAATGTATATGTACCCTAACTATTTCTCAGTCTTTGCATTCACTAGATTTTTATTTTTTTATTTTTAGTTGTCCATGTATGACACACCCATTCATCCGTGGAATATTCCTGGTATTCCAAATGAGTTTAAACTCCATATAAAACGGGATGATCTGACAGGAAGCACTTTGTCTGGAAATAAGGTGAGAGAGAATCACAAACTGTAGTACATGCATCTATGTTTATTAGTTGCATCATATGGTTTATAATAAATATATTTGGGATTATGATGCCGTCCAGTGCTGTTTAAGGAAAAGCAGTGTTTGAAATCCCTCAAAACTGTCTACCAGACACATTAGGGCATGCAGCCTTTAAATTTTACCAGCCCTGCCAAAAGTTAACAGTACTGCATTAAATATCATTTCAAAATACTTCCATTCATATTCTAAGTACCAGTAATCACTACAAAAACACAATATTTTAATTCCCCATTTTAACTTGTTGCATTTTTTAATGATTCAACTTTATCTAATAATATTATTCATAAAATTTCATTCCTAAATTTATATTGAAGCACATCATATTTATTTTTTGTCAAACCACTGGTCATGTAAGTTTTAATTTTTACCAGCCCAACTAGAAATTTAAACATCTTGGGCATCAGCAAAGACTAGGAATAGTTGTTAAAGATGTTAATGTTAACACAATTTAGACAGATGAATTTTCTTAAATTTTGTCTGTAACTGGCTTTTTAAAGGTTTAAGTAAAATCTTGGAGTAGCATTAGGTGATTTTACCAAAATTGGAACTGACATAATTTGAATATGGTACAGCACATGAAAAAGATGAAATAAGGACAACATTTTCAACCTAAACCACATTACTTGGCGGTTACTTCATCATGATTTCCCAAGGAAGTTTATTATTATAGGAACAAAGACCTTGAGAAATTATTCCAATGCCACAATAATTATGTTAAATAAACAAGTCACTATTTTAATTTTTGTTTCTCTAAATGAATCGTCTTCTCGAATAATTAATCACGATGTCAATTAAAACATTTTGATTACTTTTCAATTAAATATGGCCACCACAGTATTGCTTAAATGTCATTATTTCCATGGAAACAAGTTTGGGGACTTCTACTCTTTGTCATTTGTTTTATGGAACCTTCCACACAACAAAATATCAACAATTTGTTGTGCTTTTAAATTTTTCTACTTTTCACTAATTGGGCGCACCAAGTATGTACGGTATGATATGGTACGATATGGTAAAAATATTACAACCCATAAATGTACACTGTGGCTGAGAGCCTTAGAGATTATATTTTGATGACTATGTATGTACATGTAACTATGCAATATGAATGTACTACCGTAATTACACTGATTATTATTTGTACTGTGTTTTATGTATAAGTTGTTAACACTATTTTACAAACTTGTTACTATCTAGCACTGGGTCTAATAATTCAATAATCCTTTTATTGAAGGTTAGAAAGTTAGAATTTCTGCTGGGTGAAGCCGTGAATACAGGTTGTACTTCAATAATAACATGTGGCGGTATCCAGTCAAACTTTGCCCGATCAGCGGCAGTAGCAGCGAGGCAACTGGGTCTTGAATCACATTTACTTCTGAGATCTGAGGGGACGGTGAGTGCGAGTGACTTGTATCTCCCACAGTTTCATTAACTATATTGTACACTATATTGTACGTAGTATATGTTATTTCTAGCATCGCTTGATGGTATTCAGTTCCATCATGTCCTATGTTGTTGCCATGTATTATGTACAAAATGGAAAGCATTAAAATTTGATGTAAATATGGTCAATGTTAGTGATGGAATTTACCCCATATAAGAGAAAATTTTAATGTTGGAAGATGTGAAAATACATTTTGAGAAAAGACAAATATTGTTTTCAAAGCAAGAAACATAATAATGACCAAACAACATATTGTATAGTGCATTTCAATTGTTTGCTGGCACACATAAAAATCATGATTAATATTATGTAATTACATCATATTTGTAAATATATCGACCATATTTTAAGCATGTCTATCAAGTCCCAGCAAAACAGATATAATTTTGAAAAAAATAATAAATTCAGTATTGTTCTCACATCAATGCAAGGCTGACTTAGGGAACATTTGACAAAGAACAATGCTCTAAAACAGTCATGGAATTAAGGGCTAGCCCAACATTTTGGTTGATGCCTGATTAAACCTTTATTAGCTTTCCAGTTATTTCTTGAATTAATACAACTTTTGCATTCCAGGATCCTGACTTGATTGGATGTGAAGGTAATTTACTGCTTAATCGAATGGTTGGTTCACATATATATCTCATTCCAAGAACATGCAAATATGAACCAGATATCAGAGTAAGAATGGAAAAACTGGCACAGAAAATAGAGTAAGAAAATATATTATTTTATGTATGTGGGTAAAGTGGAACTACATTGTATTAATTTAAAACGAAACACTAGTTAAAAAACAAGTTATCACTTTGCTTGGCAGTGGGTGAGGACTCATAGTCTGCATTAATCGTCATATTGGCAGTGCTGCTCTGTTAGAGTATGTAAACACCGTCCCTCAAAAGTCTTGAGGGACGGTGATGTAAACAAGTACTGTAGAATGATTAATGGGTTTAAATTTTGCTGATTTACCATTTCAGGCACATTCAGTGGGTTTTAAATTCACGGTTTTATAATTTAGATAATATTTTCTATGCTAAATTTTACATATTCACTGGGTTTTAATTTAGCGCATTTTCCAGTCAGCGAAATAAGCAAAATTAAAACCCAGTGAATAATTAATCCTTCCACAGTAGACTGTTGACAGTCCTCAGGCCTAGTGTAATTAATTGTGTATCCTAGACATTCAAATGCCGAAGGTGTTTGATGGGAAATGCTGTCCCGGCATTTGAAATTTATTCACGCCTATAACGTTTATACACAATATTTATTAATAATAACAGATTAATATTAGGTACGACCGACTGTCGACAGTCTAGTAAACAAGTGTTGACAAAATATTTGACATTTTTAACTGATGATCATGATGACCAGATACATGAATATTTCTTTTTTCCCTCTGACCCTCACCCTAAATCGAATATATACCTATGCGTGTTTGTGGTGTAATAGAGAGATACTTTAGTGATGATAACTACCTGTGAACTAGGATGAGCATAATGGAAGAATTGATGACTTACTGGGACACATTTGATGTACAATATAGATCCCACCATTGGTCGACTTTACTCTGAACCATGAACATACTTTTAATTATTTCCACAGTTGATTAATTAAAAATGTAATTAAGTTTTCAAGTTTGGTTAAAATTTAAATAATTTGTTTGTTGTTGTAGCGATGGAGGTGGTAAATCTTACCCGATGGAGGTTGGTGGATCAACTATCACTGGATTATTTGGATATATAGAAGGCTTTAGAGAATTGATGAGACAGGTATGATCAATTAAATGGTGGGCTTATAATTCTGCTAGAGTCTAGTTTAAAATTATTTTTTCAGATTGGTCAGAGATAGCTATTTCATCCAACTGTTTCTGTTTCCATCCCTGAGCATAAGAGCAAAAATGTCTTAATAAAACAAATAACAAATTTTAGTATAATTTTTTTTACAAATATGATTAAACGAAAACTATTTGTATTTTAACAGAATGTTTTGGAAGATTTTGATGATCTAGTTTTCACTATCGGCAGTGGAGGCACAGCTGCTGGTTTAGCAATAGGAAACTACCTGACTGGCTCAAAACTAAAGTAAGTATTATTAAAAAATACAACAACCAATCCTATTGGTTAGAAGATTAAAAATTATTTCATGTGACTAATTTTCATCCAATCAAACAAGCTGTTGTAAATTCATGCAGAATATGCATTTTTCTACTTCCATTGAAATCAGATAATATTCTTAGATGGCTTCATCTTTTCTGGTCACATACAGCTTCTGTTCAAATGTTTCTTGACAATCTTATAATTGAAATGAAATAAGACATATGCACATGCAGTGGTTTCCAACTAGCAGCCATTTTGTTTTTTGAAAATGTGGTATCCTTTGCATGCATTGTTAGTTTTTTTTCACATTTAGTATGTGCATTATAAAAGTTAGGATATATGTCTATCGCGATTTGTTTTGTGATCAGATCAAATATGGCCAACTGGCAGCCATTTTTTGATCGAAAATATGGTACTTTATATGCATACTTTTTCAGTTTTTGTTCAAATTTCATACATTTTAGACTACATGTCCATGACAATTTGTTTTACAATCAGATCAGAATGGCTGACTGGTGGCCATCTTTTTTTTTACCATACTACTATATCTTCAAGGCTTAGAAACCATATTAGAAATCATATTTGGCACAAACATCATGCATATAGGAATACATGTCTATGTCAGTTTGTTTCACAATCAGAACAAGGATGGCTGACTGGTGGCCATCTTGCTTTTTTGACCATACCATATCTCCAAAGCTTATGGACCATTTTCATTCATATTTGGCACATACATCATACATAAAGGAATACACAATAATCATATCAAAGATGGCCAACTGCATCCATCTTTTGGACTGGAGTTTTGATTCAAATGTGATACAAACATTATATATGTTGAGATACATGTCCATGATGATTCATTTTGTGTTTCTGTACATGAGCCTGGACAAATGAAAATCAGTTTTGATACAAAAAATGTATGAATATCATATCCTGTTTAATTTCTGATCAATATTACAATTTTGGAAGAGTCATTTAATACATCTAGTTTCTGTTGATACTAGACAGGCCAATTATTCACTCTAAATTATTAACTATGCTTTTGGTCCATATTACTTTATTTTTGGCATGAATATCATTTCCCCGTATAGTTCCAACAGGGGAACTTTGTCATTAACAATGACTTGTATCAATATATACATTATTTACTTTCTTTAACCATCAAATTTTGGTGGGTTGCAAGCATGCATGAGATACAGTTATCAGCATTTGCATGATACATCATCACTATGTTGCACAAAAATGTTGCTCAAAAGTGTATGTGGTTAATGAGATCTGATATTTGATAGTAGAATTTAGACATTTTTTGGAATGCTGTTTGCAGTGTTAGTTATGCTGTGTAGGTAGCATTTTCTCTCACAAATACTTTTTTAAGAGAAAGCTTACAATAGTCTCACGGTTGTTTCTTCTTCATCACGATACTGCAACTGCTCTAGTATAAACCATTCTGTGTTTATTTATAAGCCAATCCATTCAAAATTTGGCTCATAGTCATGCAATTTTAGTTCAGTATTCAACAGATTTTTATTTTTTTCATTAAAAAACCTCTCGCTCATCAAATAAATAAGGTACCAAAAACCATAATAACTTTTCACTGGCTTGTTTACCTGAATACTTTTCACTGGTTATATCCCCACTCTACATGCATACTTTCTTTTGGCTCATTTATTTTGTTAATTTATTTTCAACGTCATGAAAGAATGGGATAGTAATACTTTGTTGTAGCCACTGGGGAAAACTGCAATCAATTTAATTGGAAAATATCATCTTAGCAGTTTTCCCAGACCATTATAGAGTAGGGGGCAACCAGTGCAACAGGTGTCTGGTATCCAGGCTTAACTTTTCACTATCTATAATGTTCAAAAGCATTCACAGGGGGCTGACATTCACATTATGACTCCCTGTCACAGAAACCTTAGTGATATATTCACTATTACAAATTAAAGTTTCATGATTTTACAATGACATCATATAATTTGCATCTATAGCTAAGATAATATTTCCGGTAAAAAAAAAATTATTTCTCCACCATATCACATAATTTTTCCCATTGTCATATGACATAAATAATTTGTCCCCTTCCCATTTCACTGTTACATAATTGCAGGTGTCATGCCTTTGCAGTGTGTGATAATTCCACTTACTTCCATGGACACGTTAATGCTACGCTAGCTGCAGCTGGCTTGAGTCAGCAAGTCAAATCTGAGGATATTCTTGATGTCATTGAAGGTGCGAAAGGTCGAGGTTACGGGCTCTCGACAGATGAAGAATTAGGTATACGTTATTATATGTGCAGTTGCCTTATGTGATATGCAGGGGCAGATTTTTAAAATATTTGGCAACGCTTTGTTTTCAATTTTTAGTTGTCATACTTGGATACTGAGATGAAAATATTTCTTTGAAATGTTAATGGTTTTATAACATTTTGTGGGCTCTCAAATACAACCAAAGTTAAATGCTTTGGATATGTGTGCTATAAGCCTGAATAAGAAAAAAAAAACAGATAATAGCCACTGTATCACAACAGAACAGATATAAAATTCTAAATATTCTAAAAAATCTGCCAATGCATATGAGCTTTCTGTGTTTTCAACACCCTAATTTTTGGCATTGGTTGCAATATCTGTTGCTTTAGGTGCCATGCTTATGGAGTGTCTAGTTTTAATCTCGACTATTTTTATGAGCATGTGCAAGGAAACCTAGATGCCATTGGTCTTAATGATGTCAATTCTGAGGACATTGTAACTGTATATAATGCAATTGGTGCTGGGTATAGCCAAACCAGCTGTGAGGAACAAGGTATGATGATAAATACAAAGAAAAATTATATAATATTTTGGTGCATGTAATTACTAGTAGTAGTGATGGTTTCCACTGTTGGTTATCATTGATAAATTGGTCATTGTCATTGTTAGATTGTTGGTTGCCTTTGATCAAATTTGTTTATGATTGATTGATTATTGGCATTTGTCTTTGCTGGATTGGTAGTTGTTTGGATGAAAAATACCAGGAGATACAGGTTTTTACTCTGTTGTTATATTCCACATCACAAACCAAAACTACTCTTATTACTCACTTTATT